GTTGTGATGTGGAAACTGGATGTGAAACATCTGCAGCTGCTGGAGACATGGTGACGATTACTGGTGGAAATATTCTAGGGTTCCGGCAACATAACGACTTTCAGGAATAAAATTTTCTAGGGAGTGGCAACGAGTTTTCCAGGTTCTGTTGGTCGCAGATTTGGGGCTTCTTCAGAGAATTCTGGGAATTCCAGTTCAGTTCAGATAGTGGTGTTTTTCTTGGAGGAAATTGCTTTGCTTTGATTGGAAGGAAGAAATAAGAGAAAAGAGGTGAGAGCGGCTGTGTGTGAAAGAGAACGGTAAGGAATATGAGGTATTAGTTTGAAAACGTGGCCGGGAGTGGAAAGTTAACGTTGCGCCGGGAATTTCGAACTAAAATTACAGAGTCACATTTTTTTTCCTGTAATGTTCAGTCCACGAAATTAATGAAAATCGAGTAATGTGTGAGGATTTTCGTAAGGGATAATTTCAAGGAGGTTTCTGACAATTTAACCAGCCTTCTTGGAATTTGCAAAATTATACTAATCTAAAAAGTTTTGAAAATAAGGGAAAATCGTTCGAAACGTTCCTCATATTTTACAAGATGATTTTTTTCGCCCATCACTTTTAAAAGTGTAAGTTTACGTCTGTTACAAATTCACATTGACCAAATTTGGTCTCTACCTAGGTTTCTGACTAGTTTTTGGTCGGAATCCACCACGTGACTTGCATGTGATCATTTTTTAATGGCAAAATTATCAAATCAAATTTTTACATAATCTGATTCATAGTCCCTCACATGTCACAAAGAATGAAACTTTTATTCCATAAAAAAGTTTTAGGGTATATTAAAAAAATACTTTAATAAGAGAATGAAACTTTTATTCCATAAAAAAGTTGTACTCGTAAAAAGTGAAAACAATTAAATGTTGGAAATAATTAACATGCACGTTCAACTATTCAAAAAGTTTACATTCAATATATTATTTATTTGTCAAAAATACATTTATTATACAAATAAGCAACAATTCAATATATTAGATAACACAAATAAGCAACAAAAATTATATTAACGATTATATTAGTAAAATAAACACACTAACCTCTCTTAATATGAGATTTTTTTTGTCATTGGGAGGTTCTATCAATCACAAAATGGCGTTATTTGGTATATCAATTGGTTCTTTTGTAATTGTAAGTCACTGTTCACCATTAAAGAAATTTCTAACAATTGTTTTCATTAATTAGTACTCTAATTACTCAATAGTCAAATACTAATTTCTAATAAGATATAATGTCTTAGGGTATATGAATAAATTCTCCCTATATGATGTAAGTAATTGGGTCCACAACATTGTCAGGAAAGGTCAATGTAATTTTATAAATCTCTAGAGAGGTTAGTAAAAAAAAACCTCAAGGAAGGTTTCTAAAATTATTTCAATTTATAAATTAGGATTGTGTAGTTTGAATTCTTCTCCTCTAAATTTTTCTAGTGGGAATTTTATTCTCTCATACGATATTCTTATAAAAGTGTTTTTCGCTTTTCATCTTTTTTAAGTTGGTGAGATTAAAGACATGGACACGGATTTGTTGAATTGTAGTGACATCCATCTGATGGAAGATATTATTGAAGTTTCAACGTTATGATTAACTTTATAGTTTTTCATATCTATTGTATCTTTTTTTTGGATAAAAAAAGAAGCCAATATTAGTAATAAACTAGTTATAAATTATCCAACATAATTTGCTTAACAAAAAAAATTGTACTAATGGCATAAAATATAAAGAACATGTCACAAACAGATATATCTAATCTGAAAAATACAAAGAACACGTTGCTTATTTTGGTAGACTCTTATCCCTCCTATTCTCCAGTTGTTCTCTGTAATATTTTTCTTCTTTTTAATGTAGTTGACCTTCCTCAAAAAAAAAAAAAAGTCATAGATATATCTGATTTGAAAATCATTAGATTTAACAAAATTATAAAATGAGAAAGATTATACTATGAATAGCAAACCATCAGATATGATCAATTACACGAATTGCTCCATAAATATCTATGCATGTCTATTCCCTCAAATATGTTATCAAACTAGTTCAAGTTCAAAACTGATATTAGCATCTAATTAGAAGATCCATGAAATTTCAGATCTAATATATAGATCCGAAAAACTCTTAGATTTGAGAAAAAAAAACAACAAAACTCTAAACAAAACTTCCATTGGGACAGCATATAGGAGATCACTAATAAATACTAGGATAAACACTAGAAAGGAGAAAACTCTCGCTAGGATATCTTAGGAAATGTTTTATTAACATTAAAAAAAAAACAGAGAAGAAAGGAGATCTTGACTTGAAATCAATATCTCCCTCATATGGAAGAAGAACAATAGAGAGAAAGTTGAGCGTAGAAAGAAAGCAGAATGAATGGGTTAGTAGTAGTGTTATAACAGGTTTAGAGATCTATTGCATCATTTAATTTTCAAATCTATATAGATTCGTGTCATATTTGATGCATTTACTACTATTAGTGTAGAAATTGAAATGAAATTGTCATTTTTATCCAAAAATGGATAGTACATTATTATAATTCATAAATTGAGGTTCAAAATAAAATCAATGGTAATATAGACAGAATTTTCATTTAACTTTATATCTAGTAGAAACAATTGGCACAATTTCACATTTTCTTTCAAGGGGAATTGCATGCTTTAATCTCTGCAATTGAAATTAGAGTTGAACAAATTTGCAACTTCAATTATCTGTTGCAATCAACTCTGTGATTACCAACCCTATAATTTATCCTTATGCATCAATTTTCTCTTTCTACCTCTCATTTCTTTCTATTTCTTCTCATTTTCTCAGAAGGCTTTCCTCTTCAGGCGGGAGACCATGGTGTCCCTCTTATGAATTTCATTTTATCGTGTTTTTTAATAAAATTTCTTTTAGGGGGTTTGTAGTAAGAGTCATTTGTTTCTCCTAATAAAAGTCCTTTATTTCTCTTAGGAATTTCTAGTAAGAATTTTTTGTTTGTTCCTAAAAGTGTCTAGTGAGAATTTTCTGCTTTTATTCTTATTTTATTATTTGATCTCAATTTATTTCAGATTTGGTTGTCAAAGGTAGAGTTTGAGTTTTGGGACTATCTCAACAGACCTTATCATCATTATTGGAGTTTGAAATCGTTGATTAGCAGATTTGGCGGTTGAAACATGCACGGGAGGAAACTTCAGCAATTTATCTTATTAGAAAACGATTTAAAGATTTCTTGTATTTTCAAATCTATTCAAAATCATTCATATCTGTTGTATCTGTTGTTAAATTGCAGATCTATTATTTCAAGTGTATGTTTAATATGCTACCAGGGCAGAGATGTAAATCAATTTGTGCTAGACATTTTCTAACAATTTGCTAATGGATTTTACTGTTCATAAAAAAAACCAACCTTATAATTTGGTAGACCCAATTTACATATTAATAACGATTTTAGCCATATCACGTGAATTTTTCAATAACGCTCTACTTGGATGAGTTTGAGAAACATGTTTTTGAAAAAGTTTAAACACATTTTAACCACATTTTAACACAACAGATGCTAGAATTTTGAGAATTACAAATGTATTGCAACTCTCTCAATCTTTAATTTTGTATCGCCAGACATGTTAGAAATAGGCAACAATATCTACAAATCAAGAGGTAAAAATGCCTTTATTTTAGGAACAAGGGATAAAATGGCGATACACGCAGAAAAAATAGTGGCTAAGAATTGTTTCTAAATTTGAAGTGTCTTTCACAATCCTATTTTTTCAAATTCTTTATCATGTATTACACAATACTTGAACGAATTAATACATTGCCTTACAAATAGTACTAGAACCTCTTTATTGTTGGAGACAATTAAGTGGAGATTTGAACAAGCCTACTTGAATTTTCTTTAGGTGAGTTGGAGGCCAAAACGAGATTTACATAGTTTTATTTATTATTGTTGGAGACAATTAAGTGGCGATTTGAACTAGTCAAATCCCGCAATTGATTGTATAGAAAGTGTGCAGTGAGAGGCGGAAGGGTTAAAAAAAAAAGCGGAGATTTAGGCCTTGTTTAATAACTCAATTCAATATTTAAACTTAATGGATTCATATCTTAATATATTCAGACCGTTTGATAATCAAAAATTGAATATCTGAATTAATTAAATGGCACTGAATTTTCTAAACAAAACTTACTCCAAAAATTAAGTGATAAGTGAATAACTTATCACTGAATGTGATATGCACTCAAATGTATTATATTTACTATTTAACAATTTAATAACTTAATGGATTCAAATTTCAGATTTCAGATTTCAGTTTTATCAAACTACTTTATTAAACAAGCAGACTTGAATATTTTTACGTGAGTTGAAGGCCAAAACTAGATTTACATAATTTTGTTACGGTTTATATCTATTAGAGTATTGTTTTTTTTAGGCATTTACTATGCTTTCCTAGAATATCGGCATGTGAATTTTGTGTCTGGATAGTAGATTATTTGGAATAGTTTAAAAAAAATATTATAATATTTTTTTGATGTGATATATGTAAAATGAAAATATAATTAAAAAATAGGTTGACAATGCAAACAAATAAATATTTACGAATGATCTACTGTCCAAAACACTTAAATGAGCCTGCATGCACATCCATGGGGATTTAGAAACTAGGACTAAACCAGTTATTGGGTCCAGAGACTTAATGGCACGGCTTTTAAGTCCATTAGACTTACACATAAAGCCCATTGTCCAAGACACCCATCTTGCAACCGATTATCATCCAATCACTCGAACGGAGGAGGCTCAACATTCCTGCAGATAGAGCCGACAATATAGTCCAGAGCCCATCAAGCCTGCGCACCAAAAACTCCTAGAATTGATGAGAAATCAGCAATCAGCAGCGTGGCATGGAACGCCAGTGTAACGTGGCATACACAAGTCTCATACACGTTATTTTCTGCACTTTGCAACACCTCTAAAATCACACTATCATACATGTTTGAAAATTCGGGTGAAAAAGTTGTAGAACTTTGCAGATTTTCCTGGAGTTTCCAAGAACAGTGCCTGGCAGAGCATTCTTTTATCTTCCAGTGTATGTTGGTACTTACTTTTCCCTTCTTGTTAATTCTCGCCATGTTTTACTGGGATCATGTTCAATACAGTCCTATGCATGATACATATATATAATGAGATCATTTGAATGACTGGTTGTTTTTCTTCTGTGTTGTCAATATTGGAGGAAGAATTTGTTTTCTTGAATTGATTTCAAATTGATATATTTGGTAGCTGCGTTTATAAGTTGCAATAAGCTCCTGAAAAATGAAGGGTGTTAGTGATATTGGCAACAGCTGCTTTTAAAACTGATGTTTGCCACTGTAGGAATGAGTAGCTTGACTAGTTTGACAAACTTGTGATTCTGTGAAGTTAGTATTTTTATGTTAGTCCTTTTAACTTCTTTAATCCACATATGTTCTGGAAGAAGCATTTTTTGATTCTTCATGCTCCAGAGAAGTAACTTTGGATAGAGATTTGTCAAATAACTTGAGGGACTAAAACAATTCAAAAGCTTGTATAATTGATTTTGTATGGGAGAAGTGCTAGTATTTTTAAGTGACAAGTAATGTGAGTAATGGAATTAGGGAGCTGTAATCAATATCAGTTCTAGGTGATTGCAGATCCTCTTTCAGATCCTTAGACCGAAACTTGTTTCATTCCAATTGGTTAACTGAAACATTATTTAAGCATATTGAGTTGCTTTTGCACGTTCATTTTGGTAAAAAACCCTTCTGTGCATTCAAGAAATTTTACTGTCAGCAAAAGAGGGAAGAAATATTGCTGTTGGCTTGTCCATTTGTGTAGAGAGCCAGTGAAGTTTGAAGTTGAAATGTTGTAGATGAAGAAGGAGATTTTGCATTAATTAGATCTTTTTTTTTTATTCAAATTTCTGTTTGTTTGTGGCATATGAGTAGTTTTAAAGTTGCTTTTGATGTTCTTCTTTTGAAGTTTCTCATTTTATCTACTGAATTGTAGATAAGGGGTCTTTTTTTTTTAAGGGAAAACTGAAAGAAAATGGGAAAAACTAAAAACTTAATATCATCCCAGCAAAGAAATGATCAAGTCTCATAGTCAAAGTATTGGATAGTGTTACACCACCTAATTCTCTTGGTTACAACATTCCTGTCCTCTTCAATGTTGTATAACAATTTGCAATGATCAGGTCGTTGAGAATTATTTCTAAAAGTCCCTGCCAAAAACTGAATAGAAGTTTGAACAAAACCTACTAATACTATAATGGTACGTATGGCAAATCCATGATAATTACATGGTTGGTTTAGACATGTTTTTAAGAATGAATCAAGAACAAGCATAAAGATCAAACCTGTAATCAGATGTAAGCAGTTTTTCGTTTCCTTTCTGAAGCTAGGGATGACCCCAATGTTCTCTTAAGCAAAACAAATTCAAATGAGTATGGACAATCTCTTCAGACTGCAAGACCATGATTGAGGGCTTTCTAACATGAAACACCCACTGGCAGGTATAGAGCATTTTCACAACAAAACATGAGCTTGACACTTCTGGAAGTTTTTTCATCTTGAAGGCTCTCCCCACGCGAAATGGCGGATTTAACTTGAGTGAATACAGGTTTCAATACCATGAAGATATAAGGATAAACAAAAACAGTCACTAATGACAAGCCTACCACAGTTTCTATGTCCTTTTGCTTTTCAAAACTGATGTCTCCATCCGTACACGATATGATCAAGATAAAAGCAATGAAGGCTTTCTAATGGAGATAAGTCTCCCATTATTGCGACCTAGCTAGCACTTTGACATAGTTAAAATTGTAACATAGTTCCTCTCACATGTCAATGCATTTAATTAAAAGTATTAACTCATGATAGGGAAAGGTACATAGATTCAAAATTCTTAACTCCCAAACTTTTTTTAGGTGTTAGATGCATAGAGATGATACATATTTTAAGGTTTTTTAGTGCTTTTGTAGACCAAGGAAAGTCCATTTGAGGCACTAGAGAAGGGGGACTAGGGATGCCAATATGAAAGAACCCATGCTCATTTACTCAATGCACAAGATATCCAAAAATACTACTGAATATCATAACGAAAGTGAGGAATTCTAAGATGACTAATTGAAACTGAAAGCAAACAGGTGTAAATGGAAAAGTATTTCCTAAGGATACAGCCTAAAGAATTCCTAGAGTTAAAATGGAATTCCAATGAATAAGGACAAACAGCTATTTGAAGGAGAAATTGAGATCTCCTAGTTCCTAAAACCGAACTTCAATAAAATAAGGAGGAGAAGTTATTCAAAGGAGAGACTAAAAGCATTGGATAACTCAGAACATGAAAAAATTTGAAGATTACCTCTACTTTTAAAGAAGAAAGTTGTTTGAGACATATAATCTGAAACAACGAAAGCTAGTTGTTGAGTTGCTTCAGAAAAAGTGGGAACTTGTCCAACCACATCACATCCAATTTTAATTTTAGAGTTGCAGCATAAAGCAAGCCAAATCATATGTTTTCCAGACTACTGAAAACTTTTATGTCTCTTAAGTCACCATTTGTCTTAAAAGGATTCGGAAGTTTCATTCATACTGCATTGCATTTGGTGATCAGTTTTTTTTTACCTGCTTGATTATGTATACTCTGTGCATAATTAACTGCCAGAAAATTGTTTTACACTGAGTATGTTCCTATTAATCCCGCATCCTTGAAACTTTTCATTGATACCTTGGTAGTTACTTCGACTCATGCATTTAGGCATAGGTTGATGCCATTGGTTTTGTCTTCAATATATTGTTAATTCTTTCGATTAAGAGTTTTTCGTTTGATGATAAGCTTTATTTAACAATTTCTGTTGTCTTTCCTGGTTATGAAGTACATCATACCGACGAGTGAAAGTAACTTAGGATCGTGTCCCTTTTTCTTCTGCAAGTACAGATCAACCATGGAGCATGTCTCCTTCAGAGATGTGGAAGGTAATACTTATTCTATGAGGTTCCTATTTGACTCACTTCCACTCTATACCTCCTCACCTCTCTCTCTCTCTATCTGTCTCTCTCTCGCATACATCGAACAGCTTCTCTTTTATAAAATTGTTCAACGGAAAGGCAAATTTTCTTTGGAAATCTGCTTTCTGACTTTGGTAAAGCTGGTTGTCTCAAGTTAGGGAGGTAAAATACTGAATCTGAAAATGAAGCTTATTCCTCATGGACCCTTGACAATAATAGTGTGAAAAGCATGATAATAGTCTTGGTTGGTTGAGATATTGACTTCACATTGTCTTGATGAACTAATACTTAGCTTTTATTTACTATTTTATATTCTTATTGGATGTCATTGTTCTTCAGATACAATTTCGTAGTTTTAGTATCTGTTCTTGGCCTTTTTGTTTTAACAGGTGTAAACGTCTGACAGGTTCTTTTCAAAAACTGTTGATAACTTTTGTCTAATGATATTGTTTCTTTGACTAACGAGTAACTAGATTTGATTCTGGAAAAGATCCTTTTCAACCAAGAAATTAAGCTAATGGGGAAGACTCTGATCATAGGAAGTGTCATCAATTGACAATTGTGGGCAGAGCAGATTAGATCAGAAGCTGATGTTAAGTACTCCCATGTTGTAAGACTTAGCTATATCAGCTGCAACATAGCTATTTTGAACTTTAGCAAGTGAGCAATTGATGGTCCTTAAATGTCTTCATAGGCTCGACATTCTGTTTGGTCAATATTTAAATTAAAGCAAAGAATGAACCAGGACATATTTGAAATACAGTATCGCTTTGGTAGCTGTAAAGCTGCCCTTATGCTGGTTTTGATTTTTGCGATTGCTGGAATGTTATAGTCTCAACTTCATCAGCTGTTCATATTAACTGACCGGAAGCCTGCACATTAAACTATTTTCGGTAGCCATAGACTTCGGCCTGATATGACAATTTTGCTTCAACCTTAATTGACAAACTCTTTGTGGATCCATGATTCTCAGAGATTTTAGGACTGCAGTTAAGTTTACAAACAATTGTTAAATCAGCTTCATAATTTTCTTTTCATTTTCAGGCATCTGCATGGTGCCATTTTCGGTTGTTAATTACCTTGCCTTGTCTGGTTCCAGCTTTTGCTAATCTAATTGATTATAATTCTGCAACTTTACAACTAGCATTTGACGTTAAACCCTTTAAGATTAGCTGCACACACTTATCTCCTCTTGAACTAAACCTGATCGCAATCCTAATGCAACAGGTAGTACTAACCAAAGCACAAAAAGTCAGGTTGCTGGATCTGCTCATTTAGAGCTGGATACAGTAGAAGGTTCAAAAGAGAAACAAGGTGGCCAAAGAGATAATCCGCAAGTCTCCAGAGCAGAGAATGAAGTTGGGCAAAATATAAAGGAGGATATACCTACGGCATATACAGAAACTCCAGGGGAAGTAAACATGGAGGCTTCTATTTCAGCTGAAGATGTTATGCAGGCAGGGGGCTTTGGAGCTAGAGATGATATAAATAGTTTCCTTCCTGTTGCAAGTGACTTCACTGACTTTGAAGCTTCTATTCTTGATGCCCGTATATATGAAGAACCACAGAAAGAGACCAGCAGACCTGGCCTGGGCTGGACGGAATCTCAGAAGTAATTCTCTAGCTGTGGCATGTCATATGGAGTTACTGTGGTGCTTACTCTCCTACACCTGACCTAGTTCCTGGTGATTACTTGTGTACATGGTGTTCATGCAACCCTGACCCGCTTTCTCTTCAAACATCTTATTTGCTTTCTAGCAACAATGAATTTATCGTTATGGTTGGAAAAGATATACTAATCATTCAGAAAAATGCTTTTATGTCCACACTTGTTTCTCAGTCTGTTTTGGTCTCATCTGGGTCTCCTTTTTGTAATGTGCTAGAGCGCATAGGCTCCCTTTTTCTTTTTCTTTTTTTTTGTTAGGGGAATCTAATTTAGCTTGGGGTTCATGCTCAGATGTTATCTGTGCTTTGATGCGCTCTTTATTAATACAAGGTAGATAGTCACTGCTCCTTTGCTGAGGTTCTTGTACAAAATTACAAGATTATTTACACGTTGATGGTTAGCACCCTATTTGCCTCAAGATGTTAAGGGGTAAGCTTAGTGCACAGTGCCCCTGCCAAAGTGCGGTTTGGAGAGGGCTAGGCACACATAAGCTTTACCCCTGCATCATGTCTTGTACTCTATCCACTTCAAAAGCTCTAATCAATCATCCTAAGGTCATTGTCACTGAAAGGCAACTGCTTTTTTGAAAATCCTCTGACCGGGAGCAAGGATTGCTAAAGGGTCATAGGTGGACTTCCTTCGGCTGAAGACTTCCCACTGTTTGCCGAAGTGAGCTTTCCACTCATCCTGTGTGCTATACTGGGGCAGATATTGTTTCACCCCAAGTTGAGTACTTGCACAGAAATTCAAAATCCTTTTGTTTTCGCTGAGAATGTGTTCTAAACCATCTTTTCCAGTGGAATATGGAATGGCAGAGGACAAGAATGCGACTAGGTAGAAAATATCCTCCTCGGGGGTGACCATTGATGTTCCATTTCTCCACCTGAAATGCACAGACACGTGATATTAGTTCAGAGAATCAAAACATCGTTCTCAAAAGATCTATCAGGTTGTGAATGGAGAAAGTACTGGGATTTATTCACTGGATAGATGAGAATCGGGCCATTGCTAGTGTCTCTGATAATGTTCCCAAACACTCCTGCTGCAAAGTCATGGATCTTGCTCTTAGGAACTAGGAGATTCAGCCATGGATGAGGAATCTCCCACAAACCTTTTTTCCGGAGTTTCATCTCTGAGATATGGACTCTGTCCAGGAATTGCACATAAGGGACCTCTGATTGGAAGAGTGTTGAAGGAATGTAGTTCAACTCTGACAATATCGTCTCAATATTCTGCAAGATAGGCGTCGTAACCGGTCATTGTGAACATACTGAGATAACCACATATTTGGTGTCTCTCTGGAAGTATGGGCTCAGAAATGTGTTACCTGATTTACGTCATAGTTGTTTTCTGGATACAAGTATTTTGCTACTTCTAGGCAGAATAGAACTTTTCCTTCAGATTGTAACTGGCTGGCACGAACAGGGTCTTTCGGACTGAAAGAAGATCGCCAGTCGTTGACCAATCCAGTTCTGTTTATGATCACAAACCCTTCTATGTAGTCAAAAGAGTTCTGAGAAGATATCAGAAATTCCTGATCCTCGGTGAATATGGAGAAATCTGAGTACAACAGTCTTATCCATTTTACCTGTGACAAGAGATAACATAATATAATTTATGAACGAACCTATAGTGGTAGTCTTGGAAAGATCTTCGACGATAGTGAAGATTCTTACCATTGTCGGAGCTGGTCCAAGAGCAATTCTTGCTCGTGTGATAATACCAAATTGTCCTAATCCGCCAAGAACTCCATGGAACAGGTCGGAGTTCTCGTCATCTGAACACCTAACCACGTCTCCTGTACCTACAAAAGCAATCACTGTCAAGGCTTTCCGAAAAATCGTGCTTTTCACACACTAGGACTAAGTATTTGTAAAGAGAGAATATTTAAGGGCTGGTTGGACGATGCACAATATTAAGCATCCATCGTATGACCTTAATACAATGAAATCATGGAGTGCTAGGAATGGAAACTCAATCAGCAATTCAGCATTAAAGCTAAATCAGATATGATAGCCCGGTGTAGACTGGTAACTTGTGCCTGTTTTGTCGTAGAAGTCTTTAAGAGCAAATAAGACTGCTTGCAAGAACATACCTGTGACAACTTCTAGTTGGTGGACATTATTTATCTGTGGTCCATGCCGGAATGCTTGGCCACTGACCCCAGCATTAGACAAGGTGCCACCAACTGTGAGATGAAGATAGTCTGTCCAGGATTTCGGCGTTAGCCCATGTTTAAGACTCTCATGCAGGATGTTAATCCAAAGTTCACCACCAGAAACATCAACATATGGCATCTTCCCGGGGTAAAAACGCATTTCTGGGTGCCGAAGCGACTCCATACTCATAATCACTCCTCCTCTGGCCTGTGCTTGTCCTGCCAGGGAGTGGCCACGACCTCTTGCAGCAACAGTGATGTCTGAAGAGCCTCCCATAGCAAAGACAAGTTTTATGGTGGAGGAAATATCAGAAACTGATTGTGGGTGCATAACTGCTAAGGGGAGAGAATGATATCTATTGCCAAAATCTTTTGCAGCATGATCTATGCTATCAAAACTGACATTCCCATCTAGTTTTAAATGTTCCAGTGATGAACGGATGGTCGAGGAACCCAATTGAAAAGATGCAGTAGGTTTGGCAAGAGTTTGTTTAGAAGACAGGTGATTCTTGTTCATTGTAAAACTGGTCAATAGAAGTATGAGAGACGCGAGGAAAATCTTGTTCCATTTGAGCAAGCCATTAGCATAGGAACTCATGATGACCTCTAAAAATATCTCTATACCTTTGAAGATAGAGGAGGGAGGCAAAGGGCAAAGGTTTTTGGAAGGAGTAGAGAAGCTGATTTCTTTCGTTTGTGTTTCTTTTGCTTCCTAAGAGAGATGTGGAGAGTAGCCAAAGTGAAGAGAGACTTAAGAATATATAGAGAGGTAGAGAAAAAGCAGGGATGTACCTCCAACAGAAGCCATTGGCCAAAGTGCCTATCAGTACCATCCATTATTTGCAATGGGGTGTTTTGGAATTTCCATTGGTTTCTCTTTTGGGTATGAAAAGTTTCCGTGGAAAAGAGGATCTTGTATATTCTTTTCAATATTCGCAAGAGTTGCAGCAAACTTTGTTGAGTTTAAGTACTCATCAAAACTTTTTTGGGGCTTTATCCCATATCGAGCAAAAATTGGTATATCTGAGTTAGTATGGAAACAGCCGCTTTGCGCACATTTGGTAAGCCTTGTGACTTCAGTTTTGGTTGAGGACGATTCTGTATGTTGTGTCCATGTAGCAGCACAAACCATAAAGTCAAGTTTATTTTATGTGCAATGGACATTGATAGTAATAGTGGTACAGTAATAGTTAATTTTCTGGTTGCTTTGTCCCCACTTTGAATAAAATTAAACAACTTTGACTTCTCAATTCTCATTTTTTCCCCTTACTAAGTTACACACACAGGCCAACATTTTGTCCTACATTAGAGATGTGGGATATCTCTGGATATTCTTGTGATTTTTATTCTCAAATACTTAAATTTTAAACCAGTGATTAAGTGTACACTCGGTTCGTTACTTACTGTTTTACTAATTATCTTGCAAAATTATGACCTCTATTTTCCTGTGGAGAACAGTGATTTATTTGATTTTTCATATTATTTTTTTTCTTTTTTTTAAAAAAAAAAAACCTTTTCCTTTTAAGTCAAGCTGGTGGCTTTGCAGCTAGATGTAGTAGGAGTGTCAGATTTTTTTCAGAATGGATTTAGTAAGTTCCTCTTATGAGAGCAAAAGATGGTGCGGCCCCTACTACGTGCCATGCAGTTCAAGTTTGGTGGTGGTCCTGTGCTGAATCTGTTCATAATTCCTTCAAAGGGTTATAATTATTTCACTTTGTTGGAGGGTCTCATTTTTTTTGGAGTAACATTGTTTATGGGAATTAGCATCATCCAAGATATAGACACGGGATCTTTAGTTGAGATATGGATATGGGATCATAAGTTGATTTCTCCATCAATGGCCTGAGTAAGGTCCACATTCTTCTTCCTTATATTCCAAACATAAATGTTGATTGAGATGCTTGTTCATTCAGATGGTTACCATCCAGATAAATCAAATCCTATTCAAGGACAACCCCAGATTGCCCCTTTAGATTTTGGAAAACTTCCAAGAAAGTCCTAATTGGTGTGGGGTAAAAGTCTGTCAGATTGGCTGCAACTACACTGTGATAGTAACACTTTATCATATGAATGAAGAAGAAGATTAAACCAGAACACATTCTTTATATTTGACAGAAAATGGGAATCGGAGACAACTATTCGGCTTAAAAACATTTTGTAATGAGCCATCTGTTTTAGAGATTTGTATTGTATTAGCATATACAATGAGACACAGGATAGGAAAGTTCGGCAAGTTTGCAATATGACAGAATACTGGCTTTGTTGACCTTGTGCTTCTGTTTTTGGTGTGCAAGACATTCAGATGAATTTGTCTGCTTTTTTCTATAATTTATGCCTGCATCCTTGACTAGTCTGGGAATATTCTTTGCGTAAAACCTCCATCAGAACATGGTTTCAATCCTGAAACTGGGAACCAGGAGGCCAGTTGAGGGCATTGAATGAAGGGATTTGAATGCAACAACACTCACTTTCATAATGTCGAAAAAGAAATTGTGAACTAATGTGGAGCAACTCTACATAGCCAAAGACTCAAGAGAAAGGTATTTACCAAATAGCAGTAACAACAAAATATCGTACTCATCAAAGGATAACAGTAAAGAAAAAAGAAATCAGCAGGAAGGTAATTTAACTACGTTTACCTTGCCTGGAGTTTGTCTACTTTGGCATGTTCAAAACCAGAAAAATCTTTCAAAAAGCTGCTTTGTCTATTAACAATCATGGTGTTTTTCTGTAACTATTATTGTCTTTAGCTCTTGACAGGTATGGTCCTTTCATTACATGTACTTGATTGGTTAAATGCAGTTCCCAAAAAAAAAAAAAAATTCAAAGGGTAATTGCTTGATTAAGGATACTTTTGTGGAGGTTGCCTTGTTTTTTTACTTATGACGGTCTCTTTTGTTGTCTGTATAAAGCCAGTTTTTAGGAAGTGGTACGAGATTGGTGGATGATCATCTAATTCTTAAAAACTAATGCAGTTCTAAAGAAACCTGAGGAAATACTTTCTTGTGACGTATAGTTAAGCCCAAAGGGCTTATAAACTACCAAGGAATCTTGACATGTTTAACATTTGACAAATTTCTGGCAGACAAATGTATATTGTAATTCGTAAGCAAGAAAAGAATAGTTGTCTATATAATTAATAATAGTGGCGGTTAATCATACAAATCCATTCATTTCAACCACTATGGGTAAGGACAG